GAGGAAACACAGCCCTGTTGTATCTGTTATGTTTTTAAGAGTACTCGGCATAGATCATAATTTTTAATCATGCTTAATCAAGATATTTTTGTGATTAATCAAGATATTTTAGCGATTAATCGTGACCAAGATTTTTTTGTGATTAATTGTGATCAAGATATTTTGCGATTATTCAAGACATTTTTGCGATTAATCCCAGTTAAATTTTTTTAGGAGCAATTACAAAGGCTGTCTGTGTACATTTGCATGTTACGATACACTTGATATGACACAATATGAAAATTTTATTCTTTTGTGTTTTTCTTTTTATCTTCTTGGTTTTTTTTTAAATTTTATTTTAACTGCTGACAACTGGGACCTCATCATCTATCTTTTGTTCCTCATGCTCATTTGGAATGACAATAAAAACTATTTGAATTCTTGATTAATCTTATTATTATGTACAAAATTAAATCATAACTAAAAGGATGTCTAGAGCCTTTTTCAAGTATTGTTTTTTTTTAAATGTGAAATGCGTTTTCCAAAACGTTAAACAAATACGGTGACATCCGCCATGTTGTCCTGGCTGTTTGGGTTCATGTGAGCGGCTGTGTGTTGCAACTCTACGGTTCAATAAAGGCTCTCATTGGTTGGAAGCACGACAAAGGCCATTTAAAGCCAATGGTGATCAAGATMCTCCCCACCGTGTTCATAGCCAGTGAACGGTGATAAATATAAATAAATAAATAAATGCATTAATGCACATATGGTTTTAGTTCAATAACTATTAGCTCCTAAGCTAACAGCAGCTCTCTGTCAAAAGTGAATATCTTTAGTCACAACCCAAAGCACTGCTCTCAGAGATACGAACCTGCCCAGGAGGCCCCCTGAGGAACTGTGATGAAGTGGCGTCTGATCTGTCCTGGTCTGAAGTGGACGTCTGTGAATCTCACCTCTTGATCGCGACCTTCTGTTACTCTGTTGGGAAGAACGGGAACCAAACYGTGACTCAAACGTGCAGGAGRAAAAAAAATGAAGCTCACGTCGCAGCGAGAACTCACTTCTGAGGGATAATAACGGTGATCGGGACTCGGAACAGCGGGCCACAGCTTGGAGCAGCCGTATCGTATCCACACAACTGAAAAACAAAAAAATCACTTTAAGTTAAATAGCAAATAAATGAAGCCTTCGTCTCCTCCTCCTCCTCCTCCTCACCTCGGTGTAGTGAACTCCTTCTCTCAGACCCGCCGGATCGATGCGGACGTTGACGTGACGGCATTGGTTCATCAGCTCTAAATGGGACGGACACTGGACCCACGAGGCGGCGCAGGTCAGCGACAAATGTAGCTGCAAGGAAATTCGCTCGGAGTTTTCTGTGAATGATTAAAAAAAGGGTTAAAAGCACTGAAACATAATTTGTTATAAAGTAGGGATGCAAACAATTAATCGACTTACGATTAAATGTTGAATAATGGTTTATTAGATTAAACTTTCTTCCATTCGATTAATTGAAAACATTCGTTTAAACCTTATTTCAGTGTAGTTTTGATTTCATCCAGTAGAGGGCGCCACTGCTCAAAGCCTGGCCTCTACCACTAACATACTCTGTACCGGACCATCCAGCAGTATGAAACTAAAGACAAGAGAGCAGGCCAATAGAGAACAGTAAGCTAACTGTGGCTAACGTTAGTCTCTACAAATAATTAACGTGAAGTTAATCTGTGTGATGTAACCGACCAGGGAACAAATCTAATGAACAATAACTGACATCAGATCAGCCCAGATAAAACCAGAGGGAATGTAAACAAACAAACAAATGCCAGTACTCATTTGTACTCTCACGGGTTTCAGGGATATTTTATTATGGTTCTAGTTTGTTTTTAAGTTAATCTTTATCTTAAAACATTACCACCCTGTGTTTATAAATAGTTTTTCATCTTCAGGGTGGATTAAGTGTTTTACTTATTTTATTCTATTTTTTTTTCCAGTTAGCAACCTAACAGATTCCTGTTTTGTTATATTTTATAAATATGTCCAAGTTTAATAATGTGAGAGAAATCCACATTTTTCTGTTTAATCAGTCAGTGTTTAATACACCTGGCATAATGATTTTCATAAATATAATACTGTAATTTTTTTTTAATTTAGTGTGATTAGCCCTTCACATCATAGAAAGATTCAAGAGAAATGTCAGKTTTCTAAGAAAATGGCCGCTTACCAATTAATCGTTCGTTGATTGATAAGATCACAGTTGATTGATAAGATCAATCAACTTTAGGTTAATTCATTAATCAATAACTTGCATCCCTATTATAAAGTAAAGTTAATCACACGGTCGTATGACTAAGTACCTGTGTTTTCTGGGAAGATGGGCTCAATTCCTACTCCGTGATCTGAAGGGGTGAGGACTTGGGCCGGGTGTCTGAGGTAGATGCCTCTTTGGGATCCCACACTTACAGAAAAGCCCAAGTGGCTTGTGGGTAAAGAGGCGTGCTGAGTGAGGTAGTCTAATGCCTTGTCCACCTGAGAGGAAGAAAGGATGTAGATTTAATTTATATCAGGGTTTCTTAACCTTTTTGACCTCGGGGGCCAATTTGTTGAACATAAAGAGGCATGAGACCCAGTCAGACATTACAAAATGTATGTATGGATCAAAATGATAACTATTCTAAATCTTTGCATTATAACTAAATTAAATACACTTACAGTTTATAAGTAAAACTCCTGTCAAATAATCACAAGACATGATTATGACAAACATATTTTTATATTGTAACCTGCCCATAACAATTATTTGAACAAATACAAAGGTCAGTCAACAGACCACTCAGCCTTATCAGCACAAAAACATATATTTTAAACATAAACAATAACAAAAATAAACAACTCAATAAATAAAATTGTGGTCATAATATAAATACATTCAAAAATGTTCAGTGTAAATGTTTCAAATAAAAAACCCCTGTAAAAATAAATTTGATAAAGTACAAACAAAAAATACCCCAGCTTAGCTTGTTAGCTTTAGCATTAGCTCTGACTCTATCACCATATATATGTATTAGCTCAGCGCTACACATTCTCGTCTCATCACTGAGSTCCTCCATCCACATGACAGAGAGAGGAACACAAAAATGACTCAGCTGCAACTGAAAATATGGATGGAGGACCTCAGTTTAGCTTGTTTGTCTCGCTAGTGCTGAGCTAATACATACAAGGCAATATAGGCTGTGTCCAAAACGGCAGGACGGGTCCTCCGGAGGACCCAGACTCCCCGGTCTCGGTGGGCTGGGTCCTTGGTAGACCGGGAAGACCGGAAAAAAAGAGGCTGTGGATTTGGACGGTCTAGCCTCCCCTCCTTACCCCGGTACGTCATGTCACCTAGCAACCATGACGATGCTAAAC